CAAGGCATATGTGAGAGAAAAAGGGAGGGGGAAGGGTTCGAAGGGACGGGGACGGAGGGCAGGCAGTTGGATTATTGAAGGGTGTGGGGGTGGGCGGGCAGTTGAATTATATGGCGGGAATGCATTTTCACACTTACGGTTCTGATTGCGTGGCAAAAACAAACAACTTGAGCAACTTACTAGGAAGGAGAAGAGGGAATGGTATTGAAATGGAATTTTTTTTGGCAGATGTGCAGCAAAAAACAAAGAGTGACATACCTCTAAACAAAGATTTTATTGGAACACGTGGCAGGCACAAATCAAAACATCCTCCCCCATTCTACTGCGGCTGTCTGGTCCAGCTCTGGATTCTGAAGTGAAACCGCCAAAGCCAAATTTCACTAAAATCCATCCTAGCAAAAAAAGGAAAAAAAAGGCTTGTCTATATATCAACTACACCTTCACATGCTTTGATGATGGAGCTCCCACAACCACCAGCTGCACCATTTCACCAGCAGAAGCACCATTACTGTTGCCATTACCTTCATTCATACAAGTCTCTCTCTCTTTCTCTCTCCCCTTTTCTCTCTTTCTCTCCTATCCCTTTCTTTAAATTTCTTCATTGCGGCAACTGGCAACTGCATTGCTGCACCCCAATGTCTGCCACTTCCAGTGCTTTCCATTTACGTGGTCTTTCCCCTGCCTCTTGGCCTTTTTTTCTTGTAAATTGTTTATCATTCTTGTCCAAACGAGATGGAAAATTTGACCCGGCCTTCTCCTACTTTTACTTCCACTCTTAGTGACGTATTAGTTGCTTAAGCTTGCACATTCATTTTCAAAATGTCAGGGGCAAATTGAGATAAAGGTTACATAAAGGAAACCTGATCCCGTGTCCTTCTTCACAAGCTTGCTATATATAACCATTCCTTTTGAGACTTGACCCTCTCACAAGTTTAACAGCCTCTATTGTTAGGTGTACCCTTGAGGATTCAAACTACTAAGATGTCATTTTCCTGCACCAAAAACTTCTTCCAACGGTTCTGTATTGATGAATTTCAAATGGGCAGTGATATTCATGGCAGTTTCTTCTCAAGTGATCTCCTTCCATCACTTGGGGCCAGAATTAACCAGGCGACCAAGCTACGTAAATACATAATTTCCCCTTTCAACCCTCATTATAGGTGATTACCATGGCCATTGTTTACTCGAATATTTCTTTCAATATATCAAAGCTGCTCCTTATGTCCTATTCCTTATTACAGGGCTTGGGAGATGTGGCTGGTTGTTCTAGTCATTTACTCTGCCTGGATCTGTCCATTCGAGTTCGCATTCCTAACTTACAAGAAAGATGCACTTTTCATTGTTGATAACATTGTCAATGGCTTCTTTGCTATTGACATTGTACTCACCTTCTTTGTTGCATACCTCGATAGCCAATCTTATCTCCTTGTTGATGATCCCAAGAAGATTGCCATCAGGTAAATAAGATTTTGCAGCATTTGATCACAAAGCTCTCTTCAACTATGAATGAAAAATGTTTATCTACTATTCAAGCAATTAATGAGCTTTCTTCGTATGATGCATCCAACATCAGGTACATATCTACCTGGTTTGCTTTCGATGTTTGTTCTACTGTCCCATTTCAGTATCTCAGCATCCAGTTCACAGGAAATGGCAGTGAACTGTGGCTCAGGCTACTCAACATGCTCAGACTCTGGCGTCTGAGACGAGTCAGCTCCCTGTTTGCAAGGTTTGTTACCAGATTCAAATCAAGCCTTCTATTTTCTTCAAAATCTTAAACTGTTACAGTGGGAGAACCACAAAATTTACTTACAGGTTTGCTTTCCTTCAGACTCGAGAAAGACATCCGTTTCAACTACTTCTGGACTCGGTGCACCAAGCTCATTTCTGTAAGCCATTGAAACTTCCTATTTAGTCTCTCCTCTATCAGAAATATAGACTCAGTTGTCATTTGAAAAACGGGTTGTTTTCCTCTCGGCTTGATTTCAGGTGACCCTGTTTGCTGTACATTGTGCTGGATGCTTTAACTATCTGATCGCAGATAGATACCCTGATCCTTCGAAAACCTGGATTGGTGCAGTATACCCCAATTTCAAAAAGCACAGCCTCTGGGATAGATATGTGACTTCAATTTACTGGTCCATTACAACGCTCACTACAACTGGTTATGGGGACTTTCATGCTGAGAATCCAAGAGAGATGCTATTTGATATCTTTTACATGTTGTTTAATTTAGGATTAACGGCTTACCTCATCGGGAACATGACAAACCTGGTGGTTCACTGGACGAGTCGGACCCGTAATTTTGTAAGTTCCCTTACAGCTTACAAGATGTTTGAAATCATCACTAACCTGCCAGGAGAACTAACATATAAAATAGGTTCTATAAGGACCAAAAGAAATTACCTGTCACAATCACTGGTACTATCATAACCCCACCATTTGTTGTAGAAAAAGTTCATTCTTGTAAGAGATTGTATCTACCCCACAATTTGACAATTTTATATGAAAAAGTTCAAGGTAAAAACCAGCTGAAAGGTAATGTCAAGATTACTTGCCCATTGTATGACATTACAAATCAAGTATGAATACTCAGTCTTTTGTTGTAGCTGATTTGAGCATTACAAGCTTCCGGGCCCTTCTCCAGATTCAACAGTATTTTCTTTTGACAAGGATGTCATCTCTAGCCTGGGAGTGCTAATGACAAAAAACCTTTACTTTTTTGGTGCTACAGAGGGATACAGTCAGAGCTGCTTCAGAATTTGTGACACGAAATCAGTTGCCCACCAACATACAAGATCAAATGTTATCACACATATGCTTGAGATTCAAAACGGAAGGATTGAAGCAACAAGAGACCCTAAATAGTTTGCCAAAAGCAATTCGCTCAAGTGTTGCACAGCATCTCTTCTTCCACATTGTGCAGAAAGTCTATCTCTTCCAAGGAGTTTCTCATGACTTCCTCTTTCAGTTGGTAATACTTCACATGGCTAACTATATTTGTCCATATCATTCTTCATCTGTTGTTCTCATTTTAAGCTAAAATATTATCTTAAATAAAAAGGCCAGAGCTGTGGAGAGATTGACAAAGTTTTGGTGTAGTTTGAAGCAATGGTACCCATACATCACTTTGACTTTGAATTTCATTTTCAAAAGATGCTAATGAAATTTACTACTCCATTAAAGGTTTCAGAAATGGAGGCAGAGTATTTCCCACCCAAAGAAGATGTCATTCTGCAGAATGAAGCCCCAACAGATCTTTACATACTTGTCTCAGGAGCAGTTGTAAGTAGGCTTCTTTTGATTTTCTGCAGAATATGTAAACCAAACAATGCCAATTTCTGACATTGATTTGGTGATTGTTTGATTCCTAATTGCAGAACTTAATCTCGCATGCTGATGGGCATAATCGGGTATGAGATATTATTTTAACATCAATAATATTTTTCTTCGAGGTAAATTAACAGCACAACAAAAAATTTTACATGCCCACATGTGATGTACAGGATATAGGAAAGGTAGTCGCAGGGGATATGTTTGGGGAGGTTGGAGTTCTATGTTATAGGCCACAGCCATACACAGCTCGGACCACTGAGCTTTGTCAGATACTACGTCTGAATGGAACTTCATTGATGAACACCATACAAATAAATATGGAAGACGGACGAGTTATAATGCATAATCTTTTCATGGTAAATATCTTATTAGACAACTTCTAGAGTGACGAAACACTTATTGTCATGACAACAATAAGTGATGATTTCTTCTTGCAGAATTTGAACGGGCTAGAGAGCAGCAGCTTTGACCAGCCCAACTTAGATCCAGGGTTGATCCACAATGAAAGGCTTGGGGGAGGAGCAATGGGAGTAAGTTGCTTGAGTGCTGGATTTAAAGATCAGCCAGAGAGATATGCATCAAAGAAAGAAGCAATAGACATGGATATCTTGGGATCAGAGGCTATAGAGAAGAGTCAAACTGGTAGATCTCCAATGCGCAGAATTTCAACAACAGAGGATGGCCAAACAGCTCTCAATGATGCTGTTCACAAGGGGCATATTGAAATGGTTAAGATTTTGCTTGAAGGAGGAGCAAGTGTAAATAAACCAGATGCAAGAGGATGGACACCGAAAGCACTGGCAGAACAGCAGGGAAACAAGAGCATATATGAGCTCTTACTGAGTTATGAAAACAGAAGGAAATTAGATGAACATAGGATAGAGGTTATTGGGCCAGAAACAGCAGATGACCCCAAGAATAGTCCAATTAAATATGGAAGTGGGGCCCAAAATTTCTTCAATTTACCCAGTTATAGAGAGGTTATAACACCAACCAAGAAAAGAGTTACTATTCACATGAAGTTTCAAAGCAGCAGTACATCAAGTAGACAGCTTGGAAAGTTGATACTCCTACCTGATTCAATACAAGGGCTGCTCAGAATGGCTGGTAAGTCTGCCCAGAAAAGAGCACTCGAAAATAAACCTATACATATGGGGAAAACAATTATTAATCAACTTCAAATGTAACTAGAATTCAAATAGATTAAAGAAAAGAAAAAGGAAAAAAATAATAAGGGATTTTTAAACCAGGAACACTAACCAAAAAACCACTTCAGCTATCTTTACCTGCTTTTGCTTTATTCATTTCTCATTCTGCAAGCTTGTGAAACTGCAGGGGAAAAGTTTGGAGGCTACACATTTACGAAGGTCATTACTGCTCTGAATGCAGAAATAGATGATATAAATGTCATTCGAGATGGTGATAACCTGTTTCTCCTTCAAAATGAAGATGAAAATGTAGATTTCAATGTGACCAGAAGATAATAAAAAGCCAATTACGTGTAGATGCAGACAATTGTAACCTTTAGGCAATGCCAATAATAATGAAATAATAACCAAAAATATAACTGAATCAGTTGATTTGGGACTCAAAATTGCAATAATACTGTTAAATAAGAGAAGTCAATTACATAAGGTCATAGTTCACTCAATATTTTTGGTGGGCAAACCCCATCCATACATAACCTCCAAAAATGTCTATCAGAACAAATACATGTTACAACCCTGTCATGATTACGCGGGCCAGGTAAATGCCATCATAACATTTCTTTTTGTAGGCGTCTAAGTGCAGATAAACTCATTGATGTGTTGAACACATATAAAGTTAAGCCACCACATTGGTAACCTAGGGTCCTGGTCAAGTACACATGGATTGCCTTCAGACTACTAAACCATGTCAAAGACCGGTGGATTCTGTGCCCAGGCCAAGAGACACTAAGCTGTTACATGCTTCTCTTCACATTAGTGCCACCCTTTAAATAGCATCTTTAATTGGGAAAGGATGAGCTTCTGTGTTAAAAACATATTTATCCAATGGCATAACAGAGCTATCCCCAAAGAGCAAGTACAAATACTTCAACGTTTCACCAAGGAAAAATGTCTCCATCTTGTCCCTTCTTTGAGGAGGAAGTGTGGTGACATCATCTAAAGAAGTGTATCCACCAGAATCCACCTTCGTGTATTTCTCAAATGACTCAAAAATCTGCCAACCCCATTCGCGATATCTGCAATGCATTATGTTAGAAAAAAAAGAAAAAGAAAAGGTTGCACGCATGTGCACTCTATAAATATGGAACTTAATAAAAGAAGAGAGAGACTAGAAACTAAAGAGCGAAAAGAGCATACTTTTGGTCTTGAGTGATACGATACAATACAAACAAGGATTCAACAGTTTCAGGACGCAATAAATTGTGACGGTCAGCTTGTTTGATTATTATGTCATTTACATATTCTGAACTCTTATTTCCACCATCAAGACCATCTTCAAAATATTCCTGTTTAAATCAGAACAACTCAGCAGATTGTTACTTTTCATATTCATATAATATGCAAACAAAAAAAGGACAGGTCTTAAATTGATGAAGAAGAAAATATGAGCCATTTTAGTCCATGTGTACATTTACTCGATGCTATACTGCTTTGAAGAAACAAGTTAAGCAGAACCAACCAACCTCAGTATGGAAGTATGCAATTTCAGGAGCCAGACCGGTGGAAGTTACTGAATACATCTCAAAACATGTCTTGGCTAAATCTTCTGCAAGTTTCAAGTTTTGTAGATCTTCAAATGTAAGAAGGTTGTCCTTCATAGCTTTCTCCTTTGTGATGCCTTTAGTGGCACCAAGCGCAAGAGTACCAGGCAAAAAACACACCTGGTAAGGACAGTAAAAATACTTTCATGTCAATGAAAAATGCTCTCTTAGATCCAACAACACAGAAATGCCTTCATGAGAGTCAATGATAAATACAGAAATATAACTTATGCATTCATTTAGGCAAATGGCTACAGCTGTAATAGAATAGAAACACTCCGGTGGGAGGAACTCTTCCACTCACTAACTGCTTCTTTGCACTACTCAGCATGATAGTTTTGAAAAGAAACAATCTATGATCCAAAGAATACTGCTTTGAAGGTGTGAGCTAATTCTCTAGTTTTGATGGTAAAGCCAATAAGTTTTGGTGCCAGGGAAACAGAATCAAATTTTGCCTTCATCATTGATTGAGGGTTTATGGAATGGAAGAAGGAAACCTGTTGTCGAACCCATGGGATAGACCCAAAGAAAATTCAAAGAGCAGGCTTCACATTTATGTATCTAAGAATATCAGATATATGCAATTCTTAACAAAAAATTTTCACAATCTAAGCTCCCTAGCAGTAAAACTTGTCAGTAGGAAAATGCCAAATTGTTTGTAAGACACGGAAAAAATTTAACTTAAGGATCATAACCACTTGATAAAATTTGGTAAAGATCAAAGTTCTTTGCAGCCTGCACTTCTGTTTCATCTGGTTGGTTAAAATTGCCCACAGAAAATTGTAAGAGATTACCGCACAGCACAGAGCAATTAAGTTTCTACTTTCATTATGCTTAATAGCGTTACATGCTACATGTATGGAATTTGTCTCATGAAGAAGCTGCAGTGCAGCAGCAGCACTCAAAAGACATTATATTATCTGAGGAAAATTTCTCTCAAATAAATATTAAAGGACATTGGTTTGTTCTGGAAGATATAGGAGGAATTGAAAAAGAAAGTAACATTCTGAAATGAATTTCATAATATTTGATATGTGGAGACCAAAGTCCAAATTTGCTTCACACAATAATACATACTTCTTTCATGAAAATGAGGAACAAAAGAAAAGAAGTGTCCCCATATTCTCAAGCGAATAAACCTAGATCTTATATCCTAGATACACATCATGTGGCAGCTTAACCTCAAAAAGATTATAACACTTTAAATACTAGGATGGCAGGACGAGGGTAAATTTAACATCTATTACCTAAAAAAGAGCACTGAAAATCTCCAGTTAGCAGGGTATATTCCTTAAAACTTAAGGATTGAGAAAGCACCACATACCAGGTGATCCATTTTTGGACTGAAAGAACCTTTGGATCCATAAGGCAATTCCCCCACAAAAACCAATTCATTTGGAATTGATTTCTGAACAAGTAAGTGTCTAACACCCTTCATTGCTTCCTCATACATATCATATAGATATGAGAAATTACCATCCTTAATAGCTCGTAGCTGAAGCCACACTTTGATTAGATACTCATAATAGCTATCACCTCGAGATCCCAGTCTAATATTTTCCCCGCTAAATTCACCAGAATGAGGGCTGCATTATATAGCCAGATGATCAAGAGAAAATAAATAAATACTCAGCAGAATGAGGGCTGCATTTAGTACTAAAGCGGTATTAGGACTAGATAATCATAAATAAATAATTATGATGGTAACTACAAAAATGATATAAATGGCTGATAAAGCATATTGACATCATTCAATAATTTTTGTCCAAAGAAAATGGTAATTTGTACATACAAGAATAGGTAGGATTTATCATTTGAACAATCTTAAAGGATTCTAGTTGTTCACATTTTGTGGACGTCATAAAAGAGATAACACAATCATTAAAAGGGAAAATATCAAGCCAGGCTCTTCTTACATGATCTTATAAATCACTCACAGCTAACAAAGAAATCTTCTTTCTACATCTGTTATGATAAGTTCAGCACATATGGCCTGAAAAACTTTTTGCCCTCTATCATAGAGTTGCTTGTGAATAGATAAGCATCCAATTAAATAACTGAGAAAAGATCTCCCAGTAATATAAATTGTGCCTAGGGTACACTAGAGTCGATAAGGAAAAAGAACTGTTATCAGATAACTAAAAGCTGAAAATTATTTCAAACAACCTATTATGTCGTGTTCTGAACCTAATATCTTATCCGGTCAATCACAAAGACCAAAGAATTAGAACTTTCATTCTATATCCCCGGATGACTGTCAAGTAAATGACAAGTATATCTAAATTCAAAAAACGTGAAAAAGTCCTGCTGACTTTGGTCTATCACACAGCTCTAGCCAAATACGAAATTTGTAGAAGAAAAGGTGTGACAACAAAATGCCGCAATCCAGCATGTTTTGAACATCCAAAAAAAGGAAACAGACAAAAGCCTTGTTATGACATTATTTTCTGCTGTGTTTGATGACTAAAATCAATCATCCCAGCAAAAGAAATCCAAGAAAGAAATAAAGAAAGACATGGATTTTAAAAGTAATAATGGCTTGGGAATGATGGCATCCTTGCAGCGAAAGAAACATACCTGATGTAGATAGGAACTAGTCCTTCAACCTTTGGGAGAGTCTTGAAATGAGCCAAAACCTTCATCGCTTCTGTGCTATACTTTGGATCACCAGAAATTGCACTGAGGTAATTGAGCTCAAGCTGTAAACTAGAAACTTCTGAAGTACTACTCAGTCCATCAGGAGCTGGATGAGCTGAGGAATCACGTAGTATGACATCACTGAAAGGAATGGCAGTTGGACTGGAAGAAAAAGCAGACAGCAGACGATTGGCCAAGTTTTTTGCAATGTCTAGATAAATCGTAGGTTTTGGTCCCTTGTGTGCTGAGTTTACGCCCTGGTCCACCCCACTCAAATGATATGCACTCAACAGACCACCCAAAACACGTATTGTAGTTTCAAATAAATTAACTTGCCCTTTCTGACTAATCCTTTCTAAAAGGTGCGACTCAATCCATGAGCCTGCTTCGGAAACAACTTCATCTAGGCCCATTATCATGGCAGTATCAAGAGCATCTACAATGGTAGCACCTAGACCTCCTAGCCCATCAACTCCATGACGGCTCACTGGCATAAGCTCATCATAACCCATTGCAAACTTTTTATAGCCAGACCATGCATGGGTGAAAGCCTCCTTTACATTTTGTTGCCTAGCATTCCAATTTGCTTCTACGTTAGGCTCAATGGGTTTACCAGTGAAATTACCATAACTAACTTTTTCATCTGGAGATAATCGAGGAGGAAGCCTGGGCGCTCTTCTGAAAATCTTTTTAAATCTGATGCCAACATCAGTAACTACCTTATGTTCTTCATTTGTCCTAACACCTTTTGCTAATCCATCAGAAACAGAATCTCTGCTATTTTCATGAGTCAACATTAGATACGCTAAGCCAAAGATCATTAATAACCCCAGAAACTTCCCTGTACTACAACTTACACATTCACGCTTCTTGTTACTAGTAAGTAGGTTCTGAGTGATCACCTGGAATAGTATGAAGAATTGAGAATACATTCAAATTAAACCCCTACTACAAAATAAACGGTTAAGCATGATAAATAAGAGTTCCAGATAATGCAGACTTCTTAAAAATGAGAGAAATAAGCTAGGATTGCTGAATCTTTAGCAATCTTGTTAGAAATTTTAGTCATTTGTTCCACCATGATCACATTAGGCTGATTCAGCAAAATACTCTCGGTGGTAACACTTACGAGTGACTACACTTACAAAGAGTAACGATTAGAATGCTCCATACACCAAATTAAAGTCATATGTCATACATCAAGCAATTAAGTGATGGGAAAAATAACTTTGTAGAACTTAATATGCGGCATTATCCACACACTTAAGTTCAAAGCCACATTAATTTAAAGCTAGCCGGGCTATCAAGCTTAACAGGACTTAAATCAGACTCCTTAAGTTTTTCTCAAATGATCTGGAATTTCTTTAATTTTCTGCGCTCCAATTTCCTTACTAATCGTTTCTAGTATTTCTTCCCTTTCATTCTGATCGCTTTCCTCGATGTTATCGTGTTTTCACATTTAAATTACATCGTTATACAGATCCGCAACGATAATGTATTCATTTGTCATTAGCATCCTCGAAGGCAATTTCAACTTAAGAAGAACAAATTCCATCTCGCTTCCATTAAAAAAATGGAGAATTATAATGCAGGAAATCAAAATGCGACAAAGAAACGAGATAAATTAAAAAAGAGTCAAATCCAGAGAAGTAGGGAAAAAAAAAGAAAGAGGTTAAGGAAAGGAGATCTAATACCTTGAAGAAAGATCGGTGACGGAACTTGGCGTTATCATAGTGAACATCTTTCATCGAATAAGGAAGCGATTTCGACATGCTTGAAAAAATTGTGATCTATGTGTTTATTTCCTTTTAAATTAGCAGTAGAGGCAGAGGCAGAGGCAGAGGCAGAGTTCTCCCGACTAGTAGATCGGGAAATTTAACGGGCAAAATAAAATGAGAGAGAAAGTGCGAGAAAGCGAGGGAAATTAATTTTGGGCGGGGAAGGTCTAGCGTCGCGGGAATCGTCCGCTATCCTGGGAATGAAGATTGCTACCGGCTTTACAAGTCAATGGAGGATCGTCGTGCCGTGCGTTTTAAGGGGAGAGAGAGAGAGATGAATTTGTTTCTCCACTTCTCCGCACGTTGGACGTCCGTCAATGAACGTTAGAAGAAGTTGAGAGCAGTTTCAAAGGTTTTAACAGTGACTGACGCCACTAATCTTACCATTAAAAAATAATTTGAATTTAAAGTAAATACAAATTCTTTAGCCATCTTTTTATTTAATTTTACAAATTACATTATCCAAATTTGGTTGGTAAATTAATTTTTGATGGAGTTTCATCGATGGAATCAAATAATTTGATTTCCTAATAAAACCATTATTATTAAATTTTACTTTTACTCCAACCCCATCTACCCAAAAACAAAAAAGATACGTTGCATTGTTTGTAATTAATAAATAACTTTATTTCCTAAAAATTTAATGCTTTAACACTTAATTATTTTTTATTTTCTCCTTTGATAATGATACAAAATTACCCTTTACTTATTAAACATAATAA